GACATTTTTTCCCATTCTTCTTCATGTTTATTTGTCGTCTCCAAATATCCGCTGAAATATTTTTTGTTAAACTTGCAATAAAAATGTAGCTGTCAAATTGAGTTTTTTTGACCAAGTATTCATACAATCGGAACATTTGTATCCTCCTATTTGGAGCTTCCCTGTTTCTTCTAAGATTCAAAAATCTTAAAACCATGTTAATGATCTCTACGTGGTCCATTTTTGTTTTTGTTGATTGAAGATAGTCGTATAAATAATCACAATCGAATTCGTCATCTAAAAGAACTTTTTCAATTTGAAGATCCAAATTTGTACCAGTTTCAATTTCTTCCATGGATACTGAAGACTCTAATATTTCCTCTGCATCTTCATTGTTTTCTTCTGACATTTTATAATTGTCGTTTTCATCGTCGTTTAAGTGGAGTAAGTCAATGATGTCATCATTATTCGCCATGGATATTTCATGGACTTCTTCCAAGTGTGGTCTGTTTGTTTGTTCTGGAAAATCCACTTCGTTTTCACCAGGAAGTGGTACCATGGTTTGTCTCAAATAATTATAAAGCTGCTCAAAACCAGCTCTTGGAACAGCATAGCTTGTGAGGAAATTTAAACAATTAGTGATGTGTTCATTGATTAGTTTGACCCTTTCTAGTAAATGTTCTGTAGATTGTATTGTAGTTATTATCTTTACAATCCATTCTTTTTCGTTTTTGAACGCGCTAATAGCCCCATTTAAATCACCAATAGCGAAATTCAAAATGTTGTTATAACAACATATTTCTCTGTTCACATTTGCTTTCATTTTCGACTTAAATAAGACTATATCTTCTAATAATACATCATAGTCATCGAAAGTCCCAGAAGATGGTTTAATTGGACGTAAAAGTTCATTTAATGTGTTATGAACTATTTCTAATTGTTGTCCAACAATAGAAACGCACCCAAGTTGTGTTTGCATTCTTTGATTTTAAGTTTAATTTGTTTGAATTTATAGTAAAAATAAAATTAAAACTTGAAATTGAACCAAAATAATTCGTTGAATGCATTTAAATTTATTCATGACATATCAAGAAGAATTGTTTTTTCCTGACATTTAAAGGGAAAAGTCTTCAAAAATACAACTTTTTATTTGTGACTTTGTGTTATATATTTTAAAAAAACAATTTTTTGTTTGTTTTTTTCGAGTTATATATCGGGCGATATAAATACGTGTTAAGTTTAATGAAAACAAAAATTGAAAATAACTTGATTTTAAAAATTTGAAAATAATACACCATTTCTAAAAATATAACAAAGAATGGACAACGTTTAACAAGCGGACAACGTTTTTTTACTGACTTTAGAATATTTTATTATAATTATTGGATTTAAATTAATCAGCTTTTTTGTTTTAATTTGATTTTTTAAACTATATTTTCTAACAAAAAAATGACCAATTATTACATATAAAGTCTGATTTCTAATTAACGTTATTCCAAAAATACAACAAGGAAATTTACTATATCAGTTTTTTATATTATAATATATAGTATCGACCATCGCTAATTAAAAACTATAAATAAATAGTAAATTTCTTATTAAATTTTACCATTTGACATTCTCAAAGTAATTGAGTTCGTCTGTCTTTTTTTTAGCTTTTCTAATCTTGTAATTTCACCCTCAGACCACACAATTGAGCTTTGAGACAACTGAACATTTACTAACGCGTTTTCAATTTGTTTATCTCTTGTATTTTTTGTATAATTATTACAAAGTTCTTGGCAAACAAATTCATCACGTTTAAGTTTATAATAAGTAATATTCATAATATGTAATTTTCTTATTTTTCTTATGTTACTGATATTCAAATCGAGTTCACAATTGAACAATTCTTCATATGAATCTTTCGAAGGACTTTTTAAAGAGAATTTCAATATCAAGTCATTGAGTTCTTTTTGTTCAAGTAACGATTTTTCGACTTTTCTTTGGTAAAACACATTTTGTCTTTTTATTTGATCAACAACACTTTTAAGAACTTTCAAAGAATCTCCATCTTCTTTAATTTTTTTCTTTAATTTCGTTCTAAGTTCTGATTTGTATTTCATTGTGTTGATAACATGTTTTTGTGCAATAACATCAAGATAAAGGTTGTTGTGTTTTTGTTCGAGTAAATCTGCGAAATTATTATTTACTGTTAATTCTTTTTCATGTTCTGTTACAGTTCGCGCCATTGCAGACTTTTTTGTCTCAAACAACTCAGCAACAATTTGAGGAAAAGCCTCTTGTAACAACAAGGAATATTTCCGAATTATTGAAATATTGATATTGGTATGACTATGATGATAATAAGAATCTTCGACTTGTTTGTACAAACCGTTTAAACAATTGCCATTGATTCTTTTACACACGTCAAGGCGAGCAAAAAAAGCTTCCAACAAGTTTGTTTATGGTACTCATTTCTATTGATTCCCAAGCTTTAATTATTTCATTATAATAATCATCTAAACTTTCTGATTCAACAAGTTTCATTTTTTCTTTTAGTGTCGACCTTTGTGTCAGATAATTAAAATGACATGTTAAACAAACCAGCACCTTTCAATCGGATTTAAGTCTGGGCTGTTTGCTGGCCATAACTTTAATAAATCAAAAGAAAAAGACAACATTTTATATACAAGATTCGATGTGTGGAAAGGTGCACCATTTTGCATAAATATATATTTTCCTTCAAGACTTTTCATTTTTTCAGAAAAACCATACCTTTCCATGACCATTAAATATTCTTGAGTCCCTATAGAGTGTGGACATCTTATTATCGGCATTTTGCAATTGACCCCTATTGCACTAAACAACATCATATGCATTGGATATTTTGGTTTTGAATACATTCTAAGTTGAGTAGTCAATTCCTTTTCTTTACAAAAATTCCACACTTCGCTTATTTCTTCTGATTTTCTTATTGTTGTTTCATCAGAAAAAACAAAGTTAAAATCTGTAAATGTTGTTAATATCAAATCACAAAAAACAACTCTGTTTCGTTTGTGGTCTTCTGATAAATCAGGTGTTATTAATGGGGGATAATACTTAATATTATTTTCAATTTTTATTGTTCTGATGTGACTTGGAGATACTTGAGTTGCATATCCTATTTCCTTCAGAATTTTTGAAGATTGAACAAGTGTTTGTAATGGGTTTTCACGTGTTAATTGTAATATATCTTTTACTAACTCGTTGTTTAATTGACTTTTTCTTCCTCTTTTTTTTGTTAGTAATATAGTTTGTATCTTTATATCTTTTAATAATGCCACTCACCGTACTTTCTGGTAAACCAACTTCTGAACGATTTAGTTTATTTTTTCTCTTGGAATGAAAGAATGATTATTTGAGTTTTTTGTTCATCGGTTATCATTTTTCTCTTTTTTGTTGTGTGAACTTCTTCCCGTGTCAATATCGGCTTAGTTGGTATTATTCCGAGATTTCCCGGAGGGGGAATCCCAAATTTTAATTCTTTAGCTTTCCTATTTTGGAGAGACATGTTATTATTAAAAAGTGAAAATTTTAAAAATAAAACAAAAAAATAATTTTTTAAAATAAAAAGAAAAAAGCTATTGATTTTAATTAAAAAACTAATTGTATAATTAATTTACTCCATTGTTAATTAAAAATCCGACTTTAGTAGAAAAATAAGGTGTCAGGAATAAATTGGGTGTCAAATAAATTAGGGATTAGTTAATGTAAAAAAATGAGTTTCGTTTTTTTTTATTTTTTCCCCTCACAAAAAAAAAATAAAAAACCATTAAATAACTCAAAATCAATCTGACACCCAATTTATTCTTGACACCTTATTTTTCTACTATCTGTACATTAAATAATTTTGTCAAACCCTTTTTCTATGTCTATCGGCAATTTTTTTGGGGTCATTGTTTTTTAATGACGTTGCATTTGTCTACTTGAGTTTTGTCTTTTTTTATGTGAAAAAACTTTTGAGAAGACACTCGCTTTTTTCTAACCATGTTTCCAGATTGACTTTAGTATTTCTTTGTGATTTAATACCTAATAAAATTTCAAGGTATTAGGTATTAGGATCTTTATTGTAACTTTTTATTTGGATGGTAAGGCTTTGTAAAGAATTTTAAAAAATTAAAATTAAAACTAATTCAGGTGTTTTTAGTTAGAGATTGTTGAACTATAGAATGTTTTATATTAAACAAAAATTATCTATTAAAGTCTTGGATAAAAAATACTTTTACATAAGCCAGAGTAACATTTTTATGAATGCTTCTTTGTTTAACAATAATATTAAACATAAATTTTGTATACTATTTGTAAATAAATAAATTAATTATTTTTTAGATCTTTGTAATCTTTTTTGGCACAAAAAAATAATTTTGGTATTTTCCACAAAACCAAATTTTTATTCATGAAAACCCTTTTTTTTCTATTTTAAACAATTAGACCCTAAAAACTGTTTTCCAAAAATACAATTTTTACATTCTTGTGTTTAACCCGAGAATTTTGAGAATTTTTGATCAAAAAGTTTGTATATAGAAAACTGGAAAATTGAGAAAAATGAGCGAGCAAACGGACGAGAACACATATCCGTCTCCTCTCCATCAATTTAAAAAATACAGCTTTAAGGAGAAAAAGAAGTTGCGGACGAATTCTGCTGGCGCGAGTGACATTGGTGCGCGACCGACAAATGAAGATGCGTTCAAAATTATCTCCGGTGCAGAGGCCATGGTTCCGTTGAAAAAAAACAAAAAAGCGAAGTGTGAATATTATGGAGTGTTTGATGGACACAACGGGACAGAAGCTTCCAATATTTGCTCCGAATCGATGCATTGCGAAATTTTCGAAGACCCCGACTTTGAAAATGGCTTTTATGAACTTTGTTTGTTCAACGCGTACTGTCGGATGGACTGGCTATTGTGTACAAAACGAATTAAAGATAACAGTGGATGCACGTCTGTTACTGCTATTATATATGATAGGTTACTCGTTGTAGCAAACGTTGGAGATTCGGAGTGTTTAGTGATAAAAGGAGGGTATTCTGATGAGGTTGAGGTCTTGACTCAAAAACATACGGCGCGAGATGAGAACGAGAAAAAGAGGATGAAAGCCAAGGGGGGGATTGTGTTCAATGGAAGAGTCTATGGGTCGATGCAAGTATCGCGTTCGCTTGGTGACAAGTCGTACAAAGTTTGTTGTTTTGTTATATTAAAGTCGCCACAGTAACGCAACACAGTCGAAAGTGTATAGCGTAGTCATTATAATGTTCCATTACATAGTTCGTATATAATATATTGTGTTAAAGAGGGGAGTTGAAATTGGTTAGTAAGAAAGGTGGTGAAGAGTCATGACAAACAGGGGAAAGGAGTGGTTATACCAGATCCTTATGTGAATGTGTATGAATTAACGAGTTCCGATAAAATCGTTGTACTCGCTTGTGACGGTGTTTTTGAGAAGATGAATTACGAAGACGTCATGAAGTTCATTCTCGAGCAACAGAACCAGCAAAAGACTCCCGAAGAGGCTGCAACGAATTTGGTGAAAGAGGCGATTGTAAGGGGGTCGAAGGACAACGTCACGTGTGTTGTTATTTATCTCAATTGGTCGTAGTGTTCATTCAACAAATGTTTTTTAATTGTTTTAGTGGGTGAAAGATAAGAAATGGGCTTTTTCCAGTTCAGTTGCTAAACCTTTGTTTGTGCAGCGCATTTAGTATCTCTCTAGTTTATTTTTAGTATCTTTTGGAAAACTTCGGAGGTATATAAAAGAACAGAACTCAATTTTGCAAACTGAAATGGCGAATACTGGTGAAGACGAATATGATTTCTTGTATAAAAGTTTGCTACACTCATATTTCTAATGTGTGGAGCTGGTCACACAAGTACCGTTCTTAGCTGCAAGTGTACTAACAAACAGTTGTCCTGGTTGGAGAAAGTGGTGTTGGGAAGTCCAACCTCCTCTTGAGATTCACACGAAACGAATTTGACCCAGACAAGAGGTCGACCATTGGTGTCGAGTTTGTTCCTCCAAATTTAGTTCCCAAACAGATAACTTGAAATTGTGCAGCCTAACAACTGTACCATTACACAATAGTAGAATTGCTATACATTGTAATACAATAACTGACTTGCAGATTTGCCACAAGAAGCATTGTATACCATGAGAAGAACATTAGAGCGCAAATTTGGGATACTGGTTTGTTGTGTAATAGGGGGTTATGTGTATGTGAGTAACACACAGCTGGACAAGAGAGATACAGAGCGATCACCAACGCTTATTACAGAGGAGCTTTGGGGGCTTTAGTTGTGTATGATATTACAAAGAAGTCTTCATTTGAATCTGTAGAGAGATGGTTGAATGAGCTCCACGAGAACGCCGATAGAAAAGTCCTTCAGATGATCATCGGGAACAAATCCGACTTGAACCAAACCAGAGAAGTCACCACTGAGGAAGGAAAGAAGTTAGCGGAGGACAACAAAGCATTCTTCTTTGAGACATCTGCGTTGGACGGAAACAACGTCGAAGACGCATTCATGACACTCCTCAAGAAAATTTACGACGAGTCAGCTAAGGTCGTCGTCGACGAAGTAAAAACCGAGGCAAAACCAACAGCTGACACTGTCGTTTTGACTCACGAGGAACCAAAAGCCACCGAAAAACAGCAAAAGTGTTGCTAAATCACTCTATTTTTTCCCTTTTATGTTCTTCTGTTTCGCATTTCTCAACAATGACAATTTTGTCGCAATCTCCCTGTGTTGTGCTTGTTTTCATCATTTTTCGGGTGACTTGTCACCTCGTGTAAATAACCACAAGTTAAGTTTAGTTTCCATTTTAAAACTATATTGTTCTAACTAATTTTTTTAATTTTTTTTAAGTTATTTCTAGTTGTGTTTTATTTTTTTCATTATAATTTTATTAACTAACACAATATTCATAATAACATTTATTACCAAAAATGTTATATATAACATTATTTTAAATGAATAATGACAATACAGACTCTAGTAACTTATTATAGTAAAAGAATATAAAATTATAGTAAAAAGAATCAGTTCATGATTTGTGGGTGTTTTGCGATGATTTCGTCAGCCGTGTCAGAGATGTTAGACAACAGTTTTTCGATTTTGCCTTCCCACTCATCGATTTCATGATGTCCTTCGAAGCAGACGATACCCTCCACTTGGTCGATTGACGCCTTCAATTTTTTGTCCAAAATTTGGCCAACAACAAGGTCTTCTGCCTCTTCTTGTTTGATGTTGAGATGTCTTGCCAATTCCGAAATTAATATTGTGTTGTATATAACGGATATTTCTTGAAGTTTCTGCTCAGCTGAACTCATTTGGTTTTTCAGTTTCGGCAGTTTGAGGTATGTGTTTAGCTGTTTCTTTGTGTTTTAATCGAGACTGTCTTATTACTAAAATGTTTAATTGTTTTATTATACAAAATAGTAACCAAGACACATTTATAACTATAGTTTCAATGTACTATATTTAATTATTTTTAAAAAATACTATTTATATAATAAAAGAACTATAACCACTACAAACACAATCAAGTTAATAACATGTCTTTAAATAGTCTTATATAACGTGTCTTGCAACTCTCGCTGTCTTTGGAGAGTCATCATTTTGACTCACCACAAGTTCAAAATAGTCATCATGGAAAATAGGTACAAGTGGGTTCATAGATTTTGACAATTTGTGAGCCGACCCAAAACTGCCAAGTCGAGTTGGTTGCTTTTCTTTCACCTCTTTAGGAAACAAATACTTTTCTTCTTGTTTTCTTGGTGAGATGTATGGTGTGTTGTCCACAGACTTTTGCTTTCTCACTGGTTTAGTGAAAAATTGTGTCGACGACTTAGTCATCTTTTCGTGGCGTGGGGAACATGTTGAAGAACTTTCTATTGATACTTCGATAGGGGAATTCAATGATGTTGACAAAGGAGAAAGGGGTGTAGGGGATGAACGGGAGTTTAACTGTTGAATCACCGCACTTACTATTTTCTTGTGCTTTTCGCAGAGTTTCAAGTTGTTGATTTCATCAGTTGTCATCAATGCAATTATTTCAGCAGAAAAGTACCCATTTGTGAGTAAAAGAGTCGCCAACTCTGTGTCACCAACCAAACCCGTAACTATTTCTATTGGACTATAGTACTGTTGTGGTTTCTGAATAATCAATTCTTCACAACAAAGCTCTTTTAAGTCAACCATTTCCATTTTAATCAGCGCTATAATACACTTTAACACTTCGTCAGTCTCTTCATTTAAAATGTCAAGCTTAGAAGTCTTCAGAATCACTTCTTTGCATTTACAAAACTTCCGTGCCAGTTTCCTTGACTTCCGTTTATAAGGCTCTTCATCACTACACACAATACACCCTTTAAATTTCATACACTTATATCTACTTGCTTTAACCTCTATTGGGTTCTATCTGTCATTTCTAGTGTTCCTTTCAAAACTAATAGATTATAATATATTATATTAGAACAAACTAATAATATCACACCAGACAGTGACTGTTTCTGTTTTCGAAGGCAGTCGACGAGGTGCATTGCAGGGTAACAGCCCTCCAAATCCCCGACAATATAAATTCCATCTTTATGAAGTGTCGACGAAGAGAATTGGTATATATCCAAAAGAGCGCAAAGAAGACTAGCTTTCGAGAATGTAGTGTTTGGGTAGAACCCCGGATATTCAAAGCACAACACTGGTAGACCAGTGATTTCTGCCAATAAATTTGCGCTTGTTAAAGACGTTGAGAGAGAAGAGTATACACGATGACAGAAGATGATAATGGAGTCACTCTGATTTGTGTTTGAAGGATTTACCAATACATACGGAGTCTTGTAATACCCAGTGGTTTGAACGTCTTTAGGGAGTAATGGGTACCTCCCTTGTTTAAGAAATTGTTCAGATGTTGTTGTGAACATAATAAACTCGTTTTGGTGTTTTAAGTGGGGGTTTATGAGTTTTTAGTCGGTTTCTAATTTGAAAGGAAAAGTCCAACTCATTCAGTGACTTTTTTATATGTTCTGCCGCACAGTTTTCTTCGTGTTTGAATGAGAGGAAGTTGTGAGTATTTTCGTTTCGAAAGGGTATTATCCATTCAACTGAGGACAAAAGCAACTTTAGATAACCAAAACCCTTGAAAAAAAACAAAGAGTTTTTGTCTCTCTGTTTTGTTTTTTTATAATTAGCCCGATTTATAGCATATTATATTAGTAATATAGTTTTGTTTTGATATAATTACTTAACCTTAGCATAAATATAACAATTTAAGTCCACTTTTCGATGAAAAGGCAACCAAAAAGATAACGAAATATGGGGATTCATATGTTCATTACAAAAAACTTTTTGAATTATTAAAATTATAATAAATGTATTATAATGTTTAATACATTAAAAATTGTTATTTTGGATATATAATAGATTAATTAGATACAGATTCCCGATAAATTACATAAAACTATAATGAAAATGATTAAAAAACATTTATCCATCAAACAATAAAATACTTCGTTATTGTATGATGTTTAAATGTTTTTACTCATAGTGTTAATGACAAAATTGTTTTATTTTAACATTGATCTTAATTATTCTGTATTTTTGTCTATAATTTAAAACAATTATCAACACTAAAATGAATTGGGGTTGAACCTTTGTAAACCACATTAAGTCACATGCCTTTGTTGTTATTTTTTAAAATAATTTTAAACTGTGAAATAACTTCCTTAACTAAAACTATAGTATTGTTACCAAAGTGTTGTTTATATGTGAATCGAAAAGAAATTCCAAAAAAAAAATTAAAAAAGGCAACTTTGCACCATTCAAGTTATTGAAATGTTTGTCGCAATAGGGCTAATTATATTTATAATACATTTTAAATATAAATCTAAATGAATTTATATTTATATTAATAAAATAATGCAATAACATGGTCATGCCAAAACAACGGCATTAAAATGTTATTTAAAACGCATTCAACACACACAAGCACTCAATCACTAGCTGGAACTGCCTCGTCCCAAGCACCGCTGACTTCTCTTTACGTGAGTTTATATTCCAATAAATTAAAAAGAGTCACCATGACAAACGTTTTGAACCCTTGGAGTTTATTCCAGAGTTTAGGCATGAGGAATGTCGCAAACAGAATGCCGAAGAGATAGACAAGAGCCATTCTTTTTGAGTAAAGAGTGACAAAGCAAAGTGTAACGAAGAACATGAACGCGTTATATAGAATATAAACTATATTTGATCGTTTCTATACTATAAATACTTTCTATTCAATATATAGCAAACAAACGTGTAAATAGTGTCTGAATATCGGGTTAAATACAAAGAGTATAATAGCGAACGAGATCAAAGGGAAGATCATTGCCCTTTCAGGTAACACACTTGATAAAGTGACGGCGGCCACCATCACCGCATTATAAGCAACAACGCCTTTGATTTCATTCACATAATTATTGATATACCCATAGTCAAAAGATGTCAAATGAATGACAAAAAGGAATCCAGAGATGGTGTAAATGGTGTTTGGGTCATACCCAGTGGTGATGGTTGATATGACGGGGACTAATCCCCAAAAGCTCCCAAACAATATCACAACTCTCCACCCACAAAATTTCTGTGGAGATATTTTGAGGGGGACACACGAAACGTAACACAACAGTAGCAAAAAGATATCAGCCCAATACACTGTTTGGAGTTGAATTGTGGAGGACCCCGTTAACATAAAAACAGTAATATATAACACCACAGTACTGATTTGTTGCGACAACGCTAATGATTCTCTTAACACATCGGTCAGTGGAAGAACTTGAAGATGGTAATTCACTCGCATTCCTTCTAAAAACCATTCTTCGATATAATTATCTGGAAATTGTTGTTCGGTGTGGAGGTATTTAAACATATAGTTTGGGTCGACTTCTGGTGTAGGTGAAGTTCCGAGTGGATACATCTCTTGTTACTTATACTAAATTTTATAGTTCGACATTTCTAGGATGTATTGTAATAAATAATTAATATAAATAAAACCTTCAAATAACATTTTTGACGCTTGTTAAATGATGAAAAATGTTATTGGATAAACACACAATCAATCGAATTAGTAATAATTTCCTTTCAAATATTCGTCTCTCAGACTTAAGTCGTGGGAGAAATTACAGTGTTTTCCTTTCCGACACGTTCCGGTTTCAAAGAAGTACTTGCACGGCTTTGTTCGATACAATTTGTCGACGGAGACAAACTGCTTTTGTGGTGGTGAGCTGTGACTTTCCATGAACGCGGAGATGTCGTGCGAGAAGGTGCAATTTTCCCCCTTTTTGCAGTACCCATTTTGCATAAAGAAGACGCACGGCTTTGTGCAGTATTTAGTTTGTTTTTGTGGGGATTCTTTATTAATGTTTTGAAGTCCATCATTGAAAAAGAAGAACGGAGACATTGATGATTCTAAAGGTAGCGAATTTTGTTTTTGTGGCGGAGACGACAAATGTTCAATTTCCAAAGTAGAAGAAGACAGAAGCCTATTTGCAGAATAGGTGTCTCTGTGTGTTCAGGCGACATTCTTTCATTCTCTGAGTCAT